TGAAAGGTCTGGAAACCATGCCCTATGAGGAGCGACTTAGAGAGCTGGGTAGGTTTAGCCTGGAGAAGAGAAGCTTAAGGGATGATATGATAGCCATGTTTAAATATGTGAAGGAATATCATATTGAGGAAGTTTGTTTTCGGCTGCTCCAGGGATTAGGACACTGAGCAATGGATTCAAACTACAGGAAAAGAGATTTCACTTAATTAGGAAGAAATTCCCTTTGGCAAAAGCTGCCTTGGAGAGTGGAGGAGTCTTCTCCTTTGTAGGTTTTTAAGCAGAGAGTGGATCGCCTTCTACTTGCATGGCAATGGGTTGGACTGGATGGCCTTTGTGGTGTCTTCCAATTCTGTGATTCTATTCCAATCCCAGTGACAATACTGGAATGAAAGAAAAATAACTTGACATTCCTTGTAAGGGTGTATACACAAACCTGGTAGCAACAACACCATCCATGCCACAATATGGCTGCCTTTTTATTTACTCTTTTCACGCAGCACTTACAGCAGTCAGCCTGGATGGCTTTGAAGGGGGTTAGACAGATTCATGGAGGATGCTCATCAGTGGCTATGAATCATGATGGCTATATATTGCCTCCAGTGTCAGCATCATTATAACAGTGTCTACCAGTTGCAAGGGGACACAAGGAAGAAGATGGTATTGCACTCATTTCTTGCTTGTGGGATTCCCACAGGCATTTGTTAGGTCACTGTGAGAACAGAATTGTGGACTTGGGGCCTTGCAGACTGCCAGAAATAGTGCAAATTGAGTCCACTTTAAGGGTTAGGGTTAGTGCTAGGGAATCATGGGAATTTTTTTGAGACATTGAGCCTTCTCTGTCAGAGAGCTCTGGTGCCACAATAAAATACAGTTCCCTTGATTCCCGAACCCTAACCCTAACCCTTAAAGTGGACTCAATTTGCACTATTTCTGGCAGTCTGCAAAGGCCCTTGGTAGACCTTTGGGCAGATTTTTTTTAGCCTAATGGTGCATTTCTCTTGTCAAAAACAAAACCTGGAGACCAGAAAACAAATTATATTCAAACAATAGCCATTTCATAATACAATTGTGAATTGGTACAATCAGCTAACTATACATTTACATTCGTTCTTTTGAATGTAGTTGTGTAATACATAAGTCTTCACATGTAGAACAATTGAACACTTCCCTCTCTTTCTTTTACCAGAAGGTTATTCACAAGAGGGGTGT